CTCCACCTCTCTGCCCCATACAGAAGAACTGTCTTCACATTTGTATTGAAAATTCTAACCTTGGTGTTGGTTGACAATTGTTTTGAGCTCCAGATGTTTTTCAGCTGTAGGTATGCTGCTCTTGCTTTGCCCATCCGCGCCCTCACATCTGCATCTGATCCACCGTGTTCATCAATGATGCTGCCCAGATATGTAAAGATTTCCACATCCTCCAAAGCTTCTCCGTCAAGTGTAATTGGATTGGTGCATGTTGTATTGTATCGGAGAGTCTTGCTTTTCCCTTTGTTTATATTGAGACCTACTGCTGCTGAGGCTGCTGCTACACTGGTCGTCATCTCCTGCATTTGTTGTTGCGTTTGTGATAGAAGAGCCAGATCATCCGCGAAGTCTAAATCGTCAAGCTGCATCCTATTTTCCCATTACTGGCTTATGAATACTATTTAAAATAAGTAATATGAATATTTAGTCTCTTGAAATACCTCCTTTTTTACTCCGATGCTTAGAATTTAGTTGTGTAAATATTGTAATTGTCTACGAAAAATAATTCGGATCCGTTGACCAAACACTATCAAAAACAACCTACTGTGGAAGACAACAAACCAGATTCAATCCAGTGGAGGAAAAAACCAGGATGATGCACTGTAAGTGGATAGGACACACTTTGAGGAAATCACCCAACTACATCACAAGACAAACTATCACATGGAATGCTGAAAGCCAAAGATGAAGAGGAAGACCAAAGAACAAATTACGCCAAGAAATTGAGACAAATATGAGAAGAATGAACAAAAACTGGATAAAACTATAAAGGAAAGTTCAGGACAGAGTGTGTTGGAGAATGCTGGTTGGCGGCCGATGCTCCATTGGGGGTAACAGGCGTAAGTACGTATATTGTAATTAGAAATAATATAAATTTTAGGTTATAATATAAAGTAATCTACTTAACTGTAGGTATTTTAGCTACTTAGGCGAAGGTTTATTATGATTTACAAATAAGTAAATGTATGTCATTAAATATAAGGAAGCAAATTGATTTAACAGCAATCAGTAGATGATGAAAATAGTAATATATAATGAATGAAATACATGAATGTTGGCGGAATATATTCCAATGTAAAGAACTCAGTATAAACTAACATGTGACTTGGCGATGATTGAGAAAATAAACAGTAAACACTGATATTGTGGAGTGGGTTACTTATATCCATCTAAGTACTATATGGTGATAGTTAGGCATAGAATGTATTCCGGCAAATGATCGATAAGCAAAGAACAAAAACGAAGCGCAATCGGTATGTGAATGCAAGTACAATGAAATCACAGAAGATGGACCGATATTTACAGAAGGAACAGTGAAGATTGAGACAACTTTTTGTTATTTTGCAGATTAACTGTTTACTGTATGGTTATCAGATTTTAGTGAGATAGTCTGTAATTTGGGCTTAAATACATTCTTTTTCACTATGAGTTAGTACGTAAAGTAAAATACACAAATACATAGGAAATTATAATCATGATGAATATAGAGATCTGGATTTTTATAGAGTAATTTTTTTGCAGTACAAAATGATGTTGGCTTATATCCCCCCAAATGCCCTGGTACGGCCGAGAGCGGAGAGAGTCCGCTCTCCCTCTCGAAATGCTCTCACATGGCCAGCGAATATATAGCCTCTGCCAGGGAAGTCCTACTCACTGCCTTTTCGTGGCATTACTGTAATATAAGAAATTGAGAGGAGGAAAAGCGAATGTCCGATGCTTTAACCGGGTTGGTGGACAAGGCGAGTCCACCTAGGGGAGTTGGAAAACCCTCATTCCAAACCAATGGTGCACATGGGCCCCAGTATCCTGAGGGAACAAATAACGTACGAATAAATCGTTGATCACCGTCTACCATGGGACTGCATCTCCTCAGGATGCTTTACTGACTTGTGGATCAGATTTTTAGGTCAAAGGCTCCGGGTGTGGCCCCCTATTTAAACCACCTGCTTCAGTTCGGGCACCTGGGCAGCATCCTAGCTCTCAAGCAAATCGAATGAGATTTGTATGGCACATATGTTTCTGGTGCTTCCTTGTACCAATATTTATGTGTTTAAATAAATAAATATCCTTTAGAAGATTTAGTTTGATCATAATGAATGCTTTCGAATACTGAGTAGGAAACTGTCTGTGTTTGATCAGATACATGCTCTAGAATAGACTATTCTACGATCTTCACTCATTCTATACAGATTATACTGAGGAACAGAAACAAGCACTAACTTAGAATTCTGAAACGGAAAAGAAGAAAGCCAAAGAATACGCTATGTCGAGAATTAGACGCAAACATGAAACGAATGGATAGAAACTGGAAAAAGCCGGAAAGGATTGTCCAGGACAAAGTTAGATGGAGAATACTGATGAACGGTCTACGCTCATCCATGAAGGAAAACAGGAGTAAGGAAGTAAGTAGGTACACTGATGAACAAACTTGTTAATAACATTCATCATCTCATATAAATCTAGTTGCACAGATTTTGAAAGTGAAATTGTAGTAAAGAAGTTAAGATAATGTGATTTAGTTGACCTAAGTAATGATTTATAAGGTAGAATGAATCCAATTATTTTATATAGTTTAAATCATGAGTTAATTGAAGCTAAACCACCATGGAAAACCTGGAACCACTGGATGGCCGTTTCGTCCTCCTGTGGGACTCCTCAATGGCAGTGCACATCCACGATCCCACATCTCAAAATTCAAACCAAGAACCTATCAGTCTCGCATCAGAGCACTTAACCGATAGACCACTTAGCCGACATTCAACAGTTTTAATGTCTAACTTCAACCAATCCAACTATTTTGTTTGTTTCTTTGCATTACTTATTTGTAAACTTTGCTTATATTTATCCGAAGAATTGATTACATCAGAATACTTTCAAAATTCCTTAAGGTTACCTCAATATAATTATGACTAACCTAAATGTTATTGACTGGAAACAAAAAAGGAAAGAAAAATGTTTTCATTGAAATACCTCTAACCTTTTTTATGATTGATGTACTACTTTAATTAATAACTGATTAGTAATAAATGTCAGATTGTCTAAATTTGATTACCGGATGAATTAGATCGATTATTATGTATGTAATTATGCATGAATGATTATCTTATGTTGAATAGGTCTGAGTGTTTGGAAAAATGCCTGATTGATTAGAATAGGAACAAATAAATATAGTCTCCCGATTATATCTATTTTATCCTTTAGAAGAAAAGGTGGATAGTGACTAGCAGTGGAATCTAGGACGTGAGTTTGAGTTTATTTGGGACTCATCAGATGGATGTATCTGCATCTCAGAATTGATATTCACTCTGAGACTCGAACTTAATACTGTTCACTTCAAACGCCATCACATTATCCAATCAGTTACTGAGTCTTGATAGCCACTTGCTTGTGCAAGGAGGCTGAAGTTTTAAATTCACTAGGTATTGTTTGTTTGTATCTTCTCATTGATGTTTAGGACTTTAATCAAGCAATCTCTTATTAGCATTCCATCGCTAGCCACTATCGATTTTGCTTAGACTGCTTGAGAATTAGGGCTATATCGAGGCAACACGCACAGTATGCACATATGACAATAGGTGTATGGTCAATTGCAGTCTTAATCATCAATGGGAAGTTTCAACCAAACAATACCAAGGGAATCTATTTTATTCTTTGTTTCGCTATAATAGTGAGTAGTTTATCCTATTTAGAGTAATTTAACAGAAAACAATTCATACAGATTCTAATTTATTCGAGTTTTAAGCTCAATGATCAACCCACATATAAAATCCAATTTTTCAGCATGATGTTAGGCACAGATCTATTGCTATGACAACTATTTTACTAGTGACTGATAAAAGTAGCAAAAAGGATTTATGGGTTGTTATAATACTGATTTATATTTCCAAGGTACGAAACAATTTATCAATAGATTTTTTCTAAAATATTATAAAGAGATTCTTCCACTAACTGGTAAGTATCAGAATGATGTTTCGAAACTTGTCATTAATGACTAGTAAAACCATCCCCCCGAATTCCCTGGTACGGCCGAGAGTGGAGAGCGGTCCCCCTCTGTCTCGAAAAGCTATCACACGGTTACGCGCATACTGCCAGGAAAGTCCTACTCACTGTTTCTCTCAGCGTGGGTGTTGTCTACGAAATTGAGAGGACGAAAAGTCAATGTACGGCGCTTAAACCTGCTCGGTGGACACGGCTAGTCCGCCTAGAGGAGTTGAAAAACACTGATTCCAATTCAAGTACTAAAAAAACCGCATACTGATAGTTTATTTCCTTGTAAAGTTGTACAGTTGTTTAATTCACCATCATAGTAGTATATCATACAATGAAATTTATTATAACTAACTTCAAAGTTTACTTTTGCTTAGTCATCATGGGTGTATATATCAACGATTTCAGTTGAGATTGAATTCCATAACTCCCTGTCATACGTCATCTTTAGTAACTTTGTCAGGATTGGAAAAGTAACGTACTAATAATGCTTAAAAAATGTGTCATGCAAACTGAAAATTTAATGTGGATTCGTTTAATTCAAGCTCTCTTATTTCCTGGTATCATACAACTTGTGAGACTTCATAAAACCCCTACTTATAAACTATGGAATTTTTGAATGAACAGTGTCAAAGAGTTTCAAATTAAGACAAAAGAGTAATTCGGCATAGCTCAGATTTTACTATGTCTGTGAAGAAGTGAATATCAAAATGTTAACTTTCTCTACAGAGCGTTTAATGCAATGATTGATATTTATCTAATTAACGAAGTTGAGCAACCATTCACTAATTGTCTTCAGTGAGTTGATATCTCACAACGGACGTGGTTGAACGCCACTGGTCACTGCTTCTCACTAGAACTACAGGAAGTACCTCTTGAAGTCAGTCTATTACTTTAATTAAAACTTGATATTTTACAAGTGAATATCATGATCATAATAAAAAATAATGCAAACTATTTTGAATTCAACTTACTTTAAAGAAACCTTTACATCCTTCACATGTTCTTACACCATAATGTTGACATGCTGCATTATCACCACATACTAAACATAATTGATGACAATCTATTTCATTAATTGTTATAGAATTTAAATCATTTAAATTATAATTAGATACTTTTGTTGATATTATTGATGGTGTCGATGTTGATGATAACGACAATGTAGATGATGACGATGTCGACGATGATGTCGATGGTATTGATGAGATTGGTGTTGGTGTCGAATGATTACCAGTTAAATATGAAGGTGCTGAATGTGATGATGAATGTGATGATGACGATGACGATGAAAATAATGATGGACTTAAACATTTATTATGTTCATTATATAATTTAATATGCTTTTCATTCAATGATTCTATTCCATTCAAACAATGATATGAATCTATATTATGTATTATTGTATTGGATTTATTATTATTTAATAAAATGGTATCATTATAATTATTATAATTTAATTTATTACATAATATGGTTGTTGTTGTTGTCGACTTATCACCATAGCAACTATTTTTATTCTCTATATCTAATGGACTATATAAGGAAGATTTTGGGGGGAATTTTTTCTGGAATAATTTATTAGTATTATCATTGTAATCATTCAATGTATTATTATTATTATTATTATCTTTGATTGTTACGTAATAGTCACCATTGCCATCATCATCATCATCATCACCTTTACAATCTATAATACAATTACAATTTGACGGTGTCAAGTGTAGGAAATTATCAAACTCATTCAGGCACAAATCATTATTCATATTATTACTATTACCATTACTATTAGTAATATTACTATTATTAGTATTCATAGTATTATTATTACTATTATGTTCAATAGGTAGTATAGTTTCATTATTCAATATTGAATGAATGGATGGATCATTATTAGTAGTATGAGTAGTAGTAGTAGTAGTAGTAGTATCTTCATTTGTTGTCATGATTGTACTACTACTACTACTACTTATATTACTCATATTAAATAATTCATCATGAATCTGAGTAATTTTTGTAAAATTTTTATGATTATCACCATGGAGATAATTTCTGATAAGAAAAGCTTGTTTAGCTGTTAAATGAGAAGAGTTCATTTTAAATTTATCATTTATATCTGTTGAAGGAAATAGATTAGATGAGAAATAAGTTAAAGGATTGATATTTAAATAATCTAATGTACTACTACTATTATTATTATTAGTAGTAGTAGTATTATTTCTATGGCATGTTTGTTGGGATTCTTGATTAAAAGTACTACTTATAATCGATTTATTATCACAATTACTATTATTACTATTATGATATTCATCATTTGAACAGGTTGATGAATATCTCTGTGCCATTGGATGAATATAATAATCAAATGAAGGAGTGAAATTCAATGGTTCATGAGTAGTATATATTGCATAATCATTATTATGATTAGATTCATTTCTATCTAAATGATTCATAGATGAAGATGATATATCATAATTCAATGTTGATTTTTCGATTGTTTTATCCCAATCATCTAATGGAATAGATCTATGTGATAGATAAGATGATTGATTATTGATGATAGAAGGGGTCTCTATACAATTCATTGGTGTATTATATGTCATCTCATTTAAATATGGTAAACAACATGGTAATGAACATTTAATTTTTTGTTCAATTTCTTTAATACATAAATGATCTGATTGATTCAATGGATGATCATGAGTAAAATCTATAAAATATGATTCATGGATAGATTGTAATCCATTATTATGAGTAGTATTATGTAATGTATATGGTTTAATAGTAGTATCAGTAATACTATGTTTACCTTCTTGAATAACATTATGATTCATATCTGAAAATTGTCGACAGGGGTCTTTAGTTCCATGATTAATTGTATAAGATGAATAAGGATCATCAATTTTACGTTTTAAACGTGATTGTTTCATAGTGGATAATGATTGATTTCTTTTAAAACTAGAAGAAGAAGTAGAAGAAGAAGAAATATCATGATGAATACCTTTCAAATGTTCATCTTTATGAATCCATGATGTATGATTCAATAGAGTGGTTGTAAGATGATCATATGAAACAATTGAAGAGGATGGATAATTCAAAGACGAAACACTTTTATCTTGTTCATCATTTTTATTTGTATAAGAATTGATAATATGCTTTTTAACAATCTCTTCAGCTGATAAACTAATTGAAGGTTCTGTATATTCATCATTATGTAAAAGTTTTTTGTTAGTTGTGAAATTTTTCACTTTTTCAAATGATGTCTGTAGCTGAAGAGTTCTTTCATGAATCAAATCTTTATCATTAAATGATGGTTTCATTGTTTCATAATGATCTAAATTAAACATTTTTGATATATTCAATGATTCATTGGTGAGATTTGATGAATGACTTGATGTATGATCATTGTATTTTGTTAATATTGGACTATATAAATGATCGGAATGAGATCTATGACTTAGACTAGAATAACAGTTAGATGAATTCAAGGAGTTTACTTTATTGTTTACTTCAGAATTACTAAATGATGTAAAAATATTCAATGTTGAAGGAATGGTAGTTAGACAATTGGATAATTCATTAGATTCATAACATTCAGATTGATTATGTATACCATGATCTGTATTATCATTATTTAGTTTATTAACTAACTCACTTAAACCTTTAGATAAACAATCAGGTAATAAAGATGAGCTGGTTTCTTGTTCTGAATTACATTCTGTAGAATAAGAAAGTTTAGGATAGTTAAGCTCTAAGTTTGTACCAAGAAATAGAGGATCAGTATAGTTTGTTGTATCTTCGGAGTTACTTTTCACGTAAACATCTTGTTTAGATGATAATTTCAAAGACCATTCAGGAAATAACCCATTTGTATTCATACTATCTGATCCATCAATATGTCCTACATCATGATAATAATGATGATTAGAGGGTATTGATGGAATATGAGCATCAAATGTATCATGTATATCACATGAATGTATCATTAATCCTGAATTAGTTGTTTCATGTAATGATTGGAATGTAACTGGTATAGCCATTTAACTTTCTTCAATAACTAGAAATTTGTAAAGGAGAAATAAAAATCATATTACTATTAACTAATATTAATGGTATTAAGAAGACATTATTTTTACTTTCGAATGAAAACAATATGTTCAAAAGGGTTTTTTGTGAAGATTTCAGTCATTTTATTGTTGAAGTCATAAGTCAGTTGAAGCTAGACTACCATGGAAAATCTGGAAGCACTTGACGGCTGTTTCGTTTTATTGTGGGTCTCTTCAACATTGCGCATCCACGATCATGTCTCGTGACATTCAAACCCAAGATGCTCACTGCTGAGGACTTTTACAATAGGACAAAACGGCTTTACCGTGCTTTTAGGATTTCCATGGTGGTCTAGTTTCGATTGACTTATGATTTCAACCATATAAAGAATTTTATAAGATGTTTACTTATACATATCAACTGGATCTAATGATAGACGTATATTGAATCACTTATATGTTTCGGGAATATCAATAAACCCAATAACTTAATCTTATTTAAGGATAAATTTCTATTTATCACCTGAATAAACCAAGTAGTCAATGTACTCCTAGTATTTCAATCCGATCATGACAATCACTAAATGGTAAGACGGGCTATCTTCATTTCTTATTAAGTGTAAACATGCATCATCATTATGGTGTAATCACAATTCAAAAATCTTTGTTAAATGATTCACAGGACTATTGCTCAGTATTACTACTTGATTTCAATATTGATCATCAACATTGATCAAGCAATAAGAAAAGGAAACTTATTGAAATACTTTGTGCTGAGAAGTATATTAAGTCATTATTGATAATGCTCATCATTGTTTTGGTCTAATGCATAACAATCGGCTTGTTATGTTCATGAACCATTTATAAGATACAGTCATTAGAAATTTATGTAGCCTCTCATATTTCCTAATGCTGGTAGGCGGCCTATCCTCCTCTTCGAGGGTTAACAGGCGTAAGTAAGAAGTCTCATATTTCCATTATCAAGATTCAGAAATTAATTTGTTCAATCTTTATAAGATATCCCAACAAAGTAGCTTAGTGGATAATCAACTATAGTTCAAATCGATTGACACTAATATCACATACAAGTCTGAGTAATAATTTTGGGTTATAAGTCCAAGTAACAGAAAATAACCGAATAAAATGAAAATTTAGTCTTCGATCACACTGCTGACTACCACCCAATTATATAATCAATGAGAATGCATTTTACTTTAACAAATAGTATGGTGAATAAAAATCGATTAATCGTCCTTACTACAGTTAACAGTCATGATTGATTCCTGTAATGTAAAACTACAGTTTGACTTTTCAAAGTGCGAGAATGATTTCGATTTTTCAGGTAAGGATAGCTAGTTATTGCTGTGAAATACCTAAAGATCAAATCGATTAGCTTCAGTTCACTTGTGGTATGTGCTAATGAAATTGATAGGTTTAAGTAGTATGCATCATTAGTTGGAAGTAAAATACCTAGCAGCAGAAGGTTAAGAGAATCAAAGAAAAGAGAACGAGAACAGAGAATGATTGCCATGAAAATGAAGGAACAATGAAGCCTAAAACGATGGATTGATATTTGCAAAAGGAACAGTCAAGTTTAAGACAATTGATTAACATTTTGCAAATGAAGTATTTACTGTATGATTTCCAGATTTTACTAAGCCACCCTGTAATTCTGTGTTCAAATGCATTCGATTGCACCCACTTATGTTCTTGTTCACTACACTTACTTACTTACTTACACCTTTTACCTCTCGTGGAGGAGCATGGGCCGCCCACCAGCATTCTCCATCCAACCCTGTCTTTGGCAACGTTCATTACATACTAATCTAAAATAATTTCCTGTCATACACCAAATTTTTTTAAGATCTTCGTTTAATTATGAGTTCACATATTATTCGTATTACACTGAAGACGATATCGGTTGGAAAAGAGCATTGATAGAAGGTAGAATAGGGTTCACTTCTAAATAACTGAAGCTGATACGGTAAGGTTACTGGTTGGTAAACGTTCTTTCACTATTTATTCTTAATTAACTGCCGAGGGATAGCATTAAAAAATTGTCGAAAACAATCTTCAACCCAACAGATATAGAAATCAAACGTAACAAACTGTTAACATCAGTGTTAAAATGAATTTCAGCGGGACTATGTCATTGTTGTTACAGAACTCATCATTTCGATTGATAAGTCTTAAATTTGATTATCATTATGACTACCTCGATTTGGTTAACTAAATAATAATAGTAACAATAATGAAAAATGTAAATCAAAACCGAGTATGCCAACATCATACAGAATAAATGAATGAAATCATCGTCAACTTCAAATTTCGTAATAGTCAGTAAGTCAGATATACTTATCAGAAATGGTTATCCGCCTGGATTCATCGATAAGAACTTAGCACTGATAAACAACCTGAAAATGCATTGACAGTTCAAAATAGAACTCTTTTTATGAATATCGAATTTAAAGGAGATGTAGCTGTCGAAATCTTGAATTAACTGATATTTAAATCCCTGAATAAAAAAACCTTCTATTCAGCTAATTCTTATATTGCCTTCTCAAGCCAGCCTACAATTCACGGATTTTTAAGCATGAACTTTCACTCTGGGTCATATCGATATGTATCTATAAATTTACTTGATCTTATGTGGCACGTTACACTGATCACTTTCTAAACACTTCTCAAAGCATAATCTGGCGTCGCTTTTAAAAGAAGAATTCCAACCAATCACTGACTCAATACAGGAGCACCTGATCAACTCTAGGCACGTTGCTTCAAGAGGGTCTTCCTTCAACATAACATAGGCAATCAAAGAAACTGGATTAAAGTGAGTGTGGATCAACAACATTTCTTTGCTGAGGTATTCACGATCTCTGAATCCATGTCCATAACTTGTTTTTATCCTCCTATTCTTCTCTAACCCACTGACTATTGCGCAATCTCTTCTGATATTTGAAATTTTGAATCACTTCATGATGTAATCATTTCTATAAACATATATTTACCAAACAAATATAAGTGCGAATATACAGTTTAAGTAAGTGATTTTGTTGAAAAACGTTCTTCACTGAATTCTCTTCATTTATATTCAATAGGTTACTTCAATTGTCCGGAAACTTTTAAGGATTCTGCAATAATCAAGGAACTCAATGGGTTTCGATGGAGTTTTTTTTCTTTGAGCTAGTCGTGGAGCTTTCATCGTCCTTCTGAACGACATCATCAGCACAAATTTCGGGTAGAAGTGAAGTGTTTGAATTTCTCCACATGTGTTTCACAACTTGTAATGTGCACCTTGATGTTGATTGGTTCTTGTTGACCTTAAATCATTCAATTGAGCTACAAATCTTTTCCACCATCTCAAACTCAATGGGTTTCTTCACTTCTCTATCAATTCAATACTAGAATCAATCTTCTGAAGTTATATGACTTGATGTCACATCTTTAGTTGGTCACAGATACTTCATAATCAAATAAGTATGAATATAATATAAAACATGGGTGTTCATTCTGTTGAGAAGTTTGTTGTAAAAGTGAGCATATATATTACAAGGTTCTATGTAACAAATCGAAATGTACATTTTCATGCTATTCAACTGTATAGAATACAAATAGTTGTAAGTGAAGTAAGAGATAAACAATCATCGAAACATAAAAGGAATTGTGATTGATTTAATGAACAGAATTTTTTGGTGAGATTATATTCTATGGATAACCTTTGAGCGACGCCAGGCTGATCTTGAGAGTGTTAACCTAATGATCAATACCCGATGAGAGTTACAAATCAAAATGAGGAACTAGACTTACGATTTACAGTTGATGGTTATGGTTAGGTAATTAGGTTTATAGTTTTTATCACGAGCTGACATCAGTTATAATGCCAAAACTCTATTTAGCTAAATGGATAAATGAATTTCGTGCCAAAATTCGAGACCTATCATCTTATATGTGATTGGTTCGTCCATAAATTATGGTCATTCATTAATGAAATGCCTTAAATAGAAATCATTGTGTAGTACTGATTTCAAGTTTTATCCAAGACGATACTCTTCTGCAATTCTGTGATATTTGATATACAATCATACATAAAGACACTGCATAAATATATTTATACTGGTTACCAATCTCTCACAGTCAATTAATATCAAGCATAAAAGATCACAATCTTAATTAAGTCAATGAGATTTAAAATTTTGAAGGTTCATAAGACGAATCTTGTAGTTACTAATCTCAGACATTCACTGCCACTTCCCATATCACAAATACAGCTCAAACAGTTAATAAGACTGTAAACATTCAATTTAACAATAAAGTGTTCTGTAAAACAAATAGAGTGATCATAGAATGTTCTTTAGAACCAGTCCTTGTCTATGTAAATTCAGGAAGTTTGGAAAGAATAGAAAACACTATCTGTTATCCGTGAGACTGAACATTATTCATGGTAGTTCAATAATACTTTTGTTTTTCATGGTGACATGTGTATCTTGCGAAAAAGTTACTTGACACTCTCAATAAAGCTTGTCCTAATATTAAATTTACAATGAAATATGAAAGAAAGGATGCTTGCCATTTCTTAGATAGGTATTTCTTGAAGAAATCCTGTAATCTGTTAACGATATATTCATTAGAAAGTAAAATGAAGGGAGTAACACCTACATTCTGACATCTTTTCCTTGTAAGCCATAAATATAGGTCAATGAAGCCAATCTACCACAGTGAGAATATACAATCTTCTAAGAAATAAATATTTTCATAATTGAATTCATGAGTCAATTGAAAGTAGATCAACATCAAAAACCTGGAGGAACTGGATGGCCGTTTCGTCCTATTGTGGGATCCTCAACAGTGCGCATCCACGATCCCCTCAAGCGAGATTCGAACCCAGGACCTATCAGTTTCACGCGCCAGCACAGCATTCAACGGTGTTATTGTCTAATCAAATCCAACCAATCCACAAAATTGAGAAATTATTCACCATTGTCTTTCTCACAACAGACCCAGTTCAATTACATGAACAATATGAATGAATTAAAGATTTACAATTCATTATTTTATATGGTTGAGATCATGAGTCAATTGAAGCCAGACCACCATGGAAATCCTGGAAGCACTGTACGGCAGGTTTTCCATAGTGGTCTAGCTTCAATTGACTCATGATCCCACCTATATAAAATTACTAAAATCTCCACAAAACCCCCTTCTGATAATTCATTCTTTGATAAATTACTAACGTCATCAATCGATTCTTCAAATAAGCTTTCGTAATATTCACTTACTGATTAGATTTATTAGTAGTATTTATAAATTTCCTTAAATTAATATTATTAGTAGAGTTCATTTTTAATTTTAAATTATTCAGAATATAAATATATTATCATTGTTGAAAGCGTGAGTCAATTGAAGCTAGACCACCATGGAAAACCTGGAAACACTGGACGGCCGTTTCGTCCAATTATGGGATTCCTCAGCAGTGCGCATCCACGAACCTGCTCTCGCGAGCGAGATTCGAATAAATATATTACTAAAATTACTACTAAATAATTGTAAATCATTGTTCGAACTTACATCTTTTATCTTAACATTTTGATGTCATGTATGTCATCCATTTGAATTCATTTCAATATAAATCCAATCAAGTTCTTAATCAGATCTTTTATATATAACTTGTATATCCTGTGAGTTATAATATATTACTTATAGTTATATTAGTAGTATTGATTAGATTAAATCAAAATCAGAAAAAATACTTGAGTAACTAGTATCCATGTCCCTTTGAGTAAACGTATCTCTGTGTTTGTGTTTGTGTGTGTGTGTGTGATAATAATTGTGTATCTTGAGTTGATTTACCAACCGTTTTCATTAACACAGTCAATGAATATTAGTGAAATCATTATGTTTATAATAAAACCTTTACTCCATATCCTTTGCTTTTAGTACAGAAAAATACCTGTGATTAAACGAACAAAAATAACCCCATAGATTATCACCAACAAAAAAAACACACACATGGATACCAAAGTTTGTAATAATGATTACTAGGAGGGGGGTGGAGAATACATGTAATCCTATATACATAGCACAAAAACCTTGAATGATGCACAATACATTTCATACTATGCATGTATATATTCATTTTGCGATCATCTTCGTCGTCATCATCATTACCAACCACCAAGAACAACAAGAACTATATCGTCTTAAACACTCAATCTATATAAATGCCTACGCTTACTATTAAATCGACCCTCTTCTATGCATATGTTATCACCCCATTTGAAAAATTGACCGAAAAATACCAAAATATTATTAGTTTAAACTAAGGGATATTGCACCCACGTATTTATCAAAATCTTTAAGCTTCTATAGATATGTGTGTGTTATTTTAGATATGAAACGAGTATTTTGTATATTGAAAAATACTTGATTAGCACACTATTCAACAAACGTATGTATCTATGTATCTATGGTTCATGATGTGCCATTCTTTGTATCCATATGTGTTCATATAACTACCAACCCGATTGCGTACATATATGATCTAGATGCGTATGAATAATTTTTTTAAGGGGAAATATAAAGGAATGGTGTTATACGTCACAGTTAAAATAATAGTCATGATAATTGTATAAACACTATACTACTAACTGTAAAGTATAAGAAGCATTGCGTAATTTTCATAAATGATGATTACCAGTATTAATTGAACAGTAAAATCTGATTATAACAATCCTAGTCACGTATTTCATTGAAAGTATGGATGAGATAGGTTACTTACTTACTTATGTACGTCTGTTACCCCTCGTCAACAAGTATAGGCCTATCACCAGCATTCTCCATCCAACTCTGTCCTAGACAATCTTTTCTAGATTTTTCCTGTTAACATTCATCCTTTTCATATCTGCTTCAATCTCCCAGCGTAATGTGTTCTGTGGCCTTCCTCTTTTCCGCTTCCCTTCACCATTCCAAGTTAGCGATTGCCTCGTGATGCAGTTTGGTTATTTCCTTAATGTTTATCCGATCCACTTCCAACGTCTTTTCCTAATTTCCTATTCAGATGGAGGCTTGTTCGTCCTCTCCCGTGAAACACTGTTCCTGATGATATCCTGCCAGTGAATGTTGAGTATTTTGCGTAGACAACCATTTATAAACACTTATAACTTCTTGACGATGAATGTAGTAGTTCTCTACGTTTCAGCTCTGTACAATAAAATTGACTGTTTTAATGTTCGTATTGAAGATTGTGTCTTTGCAATTAGTTGTCAGTTGTTTTGAGTTCCATATGTTTTTCAATTGTAGAAATGCTGTCCTTGCTTTGCCAATCCTCGCCTTTATATCTGCATCCGATGACACATCCCAGATACGTCAATGTTTCCACCTCCTCCAGAGTTTCGCCATCAAGTGTGATTGGGTCGGTGTTCTCCATGTTGCATTTGAGAATCTTGCTTTCTCCTATGTGTATATTGAAGCCTATTGATGCAGAGACTGCCGCTACATTTGTTGTCTTCGTTTGTATTTGCTAGTGTGTATGAAATAGGAGGACTAGGTCATCTGCTAAGTCCAAATCATCTAATTGATTCTGGGATGCCCATTGTATTCTGTGCTTCCCTCAGACGTTGAAGTCTTCATAATCCAGTCAATCACCAGAAGAAAGAGGAAAAATAGACGAGTTAGGTAATCAATAAATAATATAAAGGTTAAATATAAATAGTTTCAAAAAATTTAAGCATTGAGTAGAAAGTTATTAATAAATATATATTTTTGTGATAGTCCAGTGAATAAAAAGGAAGCAGAAAAGTAGAAGGCGGAAGAACACATTGAGTCCGTAATTGAAAGTAGACATGGGAAAAGGATGAATACCAACTGGAAAGGTTTGTCCAGGACAGAGTTGGACGAATAATTCTGGTGGATGGTCTATGCTCCCTCATGTGTGATAACAGGTGTAAGTAAGTAAGCAATGATTAGAAAATTGTATTTTTTTGTCGTTTTGTAGATTACATTAAGTCATTAAATTCACTTCATATACAATCATAACTCGTTTCGGGTTTATTCAATTTACAGAAACAAGGGAACAAAGTGAACTCTAAAGAAAATGGATTAATCTTTTAAAATTTAGATTTACTTTATTTGTATCGGTAATAAAAAAAAACATTCGAAACAAGTACCAGTATTAAGTATAAACAAAAACAAGCAGCTGAACTTGCTTATATTTTAGTAAAGTTTACTGAAATTAAGCCCTAACATGGAATCCTAAAGGTCAAAGAAGAAGAGGAAGACCAAAGAACACATTACGCCAAGAAATGGAGACATCCATGAAGAGAATGAACACAAACTGGATAAAACTAAAAAGGAAGCACGAGAACAGAGTAGGCTGGAGAATGCTGGTCGGTGACCTATGCTCCATTGGGAGTAACAGGCGTTAGTACGTAATTAAGTAACATATATGATCAATGATGCCTGGTAACAAATTAACTTACATTAAAATTTATTAACCCTATAATATAATCCTATGCGGACTGCTTCGATATTATCTTAGGTCACAAGCATCATAAGCAAAGATGGATGTTGACTAGCAGTGGAATCCAGGACGTGCGTTTCATCCTGCTTGGGACTCGTCAGTTGAATGTACCTGAATCTTAGAGATGATAATCACCCTGAGACTCGAACCCAGTACCGTTCGCTTGAAACGCCATCGCGCTATCCTCTTTGCTACTGAGTCCTGATATCCACTTGTTTGTACAATGAGATGAAGTTTAAATTCACTTGGTATTTTTTACTTGAATCTTCACATTGATGTTTAGGAGTGTAATTGATCAGCCACTTATTGGCATATACGCAAACTGTGCGGACTGCTTCAAGATTGGCCTATGTCACAAGCATTATAAGCGAAGATGGATGGTGACTAGCAGCGGAATGCAGGACTTACGTTTCGTCCTACTTGGGACTCTTCAGACTCGTCAGAAACTAGACCATCATTAAAAAACTGGAAGCACTAGATATTCATTTCATCCCAGGATTAGACTCCTTAGTATTGTGCATCCACGATCACATTCACGGGGCTCGAACCAAGGACCTTTGGTATAGATTAGGTCGAATGGTGAATTCAATTGTTAAAAACACTATAATCTTCACAAATACCCTAACTGGAGAAAAAGAATTAGTTATTTACGGTAGTTAATATAAAGATAGGGGGTGACACATTCTTAAGATTTTTAACATTTATAAGTTAGGTATAATTTGTATGCTTTATTAACGGACAATGCAATAGAACACTTGTAACTTAATACTGAAATAATACAGTCTATGCACAGGTCGATATTGTCTATAAATATTAAGTGATTGCCAATCAGATGTTAGCAGTTCAATAATCGACATTTGGATAATGTTGATTCTTTCTTTAATACATAATTCCAGCTACCACGATGTTTCTGATTATACTGTTTTGTAATTTGTACAGCAAAAGGCAGTAAGCTTGTCCTGTAGATCTCGATATTGATTGATTCTTATTGTAAGCCATATATGGAGATATTTGAACACTTCACTTTCACTTGAAAAGTATATTGTGATGATGTCGTTCAGAAGCTCGATGAAAGTTCCACGACCAAACCATCCATCTCAGAGAACGAAACTCCATCAAAACTTCATCCATCTAAGCTACAAATCTTCTCCACCATCTTATAGTTATCATCCTAAACTCCTCAACTAATTTATTCTCACTTAGCTTATTCATAATCTTTACATTCCATAGTAGATCATTTTTATTAAGAAAATAAACTACTATAATGATTTAATATAGTTGAGATCATGAGGCAATTAAAGCTAGACCACCATGGAAAACCTGGAAGAACTGGATGGCCGTTTCGTTCTATTGTGGGACTCATCAGCAGTGCACATCCACGATTCCACCTCACGAGATTTGAACCCAGGACCTATAATTCCCTCGCGCGAGCGCTTAACCTCTAGACCACTGAGCCGGCCAGCATCCAACAAAATTACTGTCTAACTTCAATCAATCCACAAAATTGAGCAACCACTCACCAATGTCTTCAGTGAGTTAATATCTCCCAAGAGAACACAAAACTCCTTTCTGATACTGAAATGATTAAAAATTTCATTATAAAATAATATGAATACTTTATTGATAATCAAAGATGGATAGTGGCTAGCAGTGGATCCCAGGACGTGGGTTTCGTACTATTTGGGACTCATCAGGCTAAATCGAGGCAATACGCAAAAAATGTACTTACTCACTTACTTTCGCCTGTTACTCCCAATCGAGCATAGGCCGCCGACCAACATTTTCCAACCCACTCTGTTCTGGGCCTTCTTTTCTAGTTCTATCCAATTCTTGTTCATTCTTCTCATGTCTGTCTCTATTTCTCGGCGTAATGTGTTCTTTGGTATTCCTCTTCTCCTTTGACTTTCAGGATTCCATGTGAGGGCTTGTCTTGTGATGCAATTGGGTGATTTCCTAAAAGTATGTTCAATCCACTTCCAGCGCTTCTTCCTGATTTCTTCCTCCACTGGATGGAATCTGGTTTGTTGTCTCCCACAGTAACTTATTGCTGATAGTGTCTGGCCAACGGATCCGAAGTATCTTGCGTAGACAACTGTTAATAAACACTTGTATCTTCTGGATAATGGCTTTCGTAGTTCTCCACGTCTCCGCCCCATACAATAGAACTGTATTGACATTTGTTTTGAAAATTCTAACTTTGGTGTTGGTTGACAATTGTTTTGAGCTTCAGATGTTCTTCAGTTGTAAGTATGTTGCTCTTGCTTTGCCGATCCGCGCCCTCACATCTGCATCTGATCCACCGCGTTCATCAATGATGCTGCCCAGATATGTAAAGGTTTCCACATTTTCCAAAGCTTCTCCGTCAAGTGTAATTTGATTGGTGCATATTGTGTTGTATCGGAGAGTCTTGATTTTTCCCTTTGTTAATATTGAGACCTACTGTTGCCGAGGCTGCTGCTACACTGGTCGTTTTCTCCTGCATTTGTTGTTGCGTGTGTGATAAAAGATCCTGATCATCTGCAAAGTCTAAATCATCAAGCTGCATCCTGCCTGTCCACTGTATCCCGTGCTTTCCCCCAGATGTTGACGTCTTCGTGATCCAGTCGATCACTAAGAGAAAGAGAAACGGTGAGAGTAAGCAACCTTGCCTTACACCGGTCTTTACCTCGAGTGAGTCAGTGAGTTGTCCTCCATGGACGATTTGGCAGTTTAGACCAACATAGGA